TATACCTGACAGCAGGTGCTGTCAAGACTGCTTCTCATGCCGAGGGTTTACACATGCGTGTTGCCTGCATGAGCATAAAACATACTTGAAGGGGACCGGCAACCTGACACAGAGCTCCAGTTCTGAATCCATGGATGCTTTGTTTTCATCTTCATTTATATCGCCAGAAGTGAGAGATGTGATGGACAGCATCAAATACATTGCTGAAACCATGAAACTGCAGAATAAAGCCAAGGAGGTATGGGTGTATTTTAATTCCCACTTTACACAACATACCTGAGGGGGCTTCATGGTGGCAAGGCCATACTGTAAACCAGGGATGCCCAACCTTGGCCAATTTAAGACTTGTGGACTTCAACTCCCATGCTGGCTGATGGATTTTGGGAATTGAAGTCCGTAAGTCTTAAAATGGCCAAGATCGGACAACTGTGGTGTCAACGAATAGCACTGCACCATCTCCATTTTGGCCATTTCCCTATCTCACCAAAGTAGCATCTGCTCTGATTGACCACGATCTTGTGTAGTCTCAGGCGATGTCTACTTTCTACCAGGTGCCTGTGGAAGTATCCAAAAACAGAACAGCTCATTGGATCTTCTGCAGGCAATAAAGACGTGCCATTTGTGACTTGCAAGATGGAACGGTCACAGTGCTTAAGACACAGAAACCAGTACAAAAAGAAAAACAAAAACAACCACACAATATTTTATTTCTTTAACAATAGTAGAAAAGACTGATTTTTTTTTTACAAAGGAAATAGGGGAGATACCTATTCACCAAAACTTGTGATTAGAGATCAAGTTGGCTTACAGTGATCTGAATATTTGTTTGAAACCAAAGAGGAATATTTTTGCAAATTATCTTCCACAGAAACAGGTTCATCCATAATTTTAATGCCTTTCAATTTCCATGGAATAGTTCACCTTCACATACTTAACAAGTGCATCCTCAGGGTTAAAAAGATAACCAAATTAGGCAAGGAAGAAAGTCAGGAGCCAAAGACTTGTCATTATTTTTCATTTAAGTCCCCCCCCCAGACCCCCAAGTTAGATTTGAGATAGAAGATCTGAGGATCTGCTTTCTGCAGATGTTCCACATAAGCCTTCTTTTGAAACTAATTATTGTACTGTCTGCAGACAACTGTGCCAATGGCTTTGAAATAGGCACAGCAGGCCCACAAAATAGATTATTCAAAAATTGATATAATTTTTTTTGCTTATTTCTTCCAGACTCAAGATGACTGGAAATACGTTGCCATGGTAATTGATCGTATTTTCCTGTGGGTGTTTATTCTGGTGTGTATTTTGGGGACAGCAGGATTGTTCCTGCAACCACTGCTGATCAGAGATGAAGTTTAAACAAGGTGACACAGCAAAAAAGGACTTTTTTTTTTCCTTCTTGGGTGTCCAAACACATTACACTGATGTTGAACTACTTACTGTAATTCCGCTTCTTTGAGTTCCAAAATAAAGATACAGAAGAACATATAGAAGTGAAAACAACTGATTTGTATTATTCTGAGCTATTGTATAAGACTAAAGGATTTTCATGTCTAGGCTTTTCCTCTTTTGAGAGTGAGAGAATTTTTATGGTTCTCAGATTAAGCCTTAAAATAGTACTAATTTATTCTGCAGAAGTTTGGACAAGGAGAGTCAGGACCATCTCATTAATACAAAAATCCCTGCAATTTTAATAAGCTATATATTAAAATCAGATAACAATTATCTTGCAAGGACTAGGGAATGACAGCAGCAGTACCAATATATAAGGGAGGAAACCGAGCAGATCCAGCTAACTATAGACCTAACAGTTTCTTGAGTGCCTAAGCTGGAAATATTTAGCATCACTGGAATCGGAGGCATAACTGGATTAATACAAGCCAAATTCCAAGGATGCTCACCACAGATCACCTTTGTTATACAAAAGCATTTGCACCAATTAAAATTTCCTCACGATGAGGCCTTGCAAACCAACTTGCCACAGCTATGCCAAGAGGAACAACAAAAGGAACTTATGCACATTCCAAGGTGAACTCGAAAAGGCCATTTCTTAAAAATTAAGAGTTAACTGGAACCAACCGTACAAATTCCCAGCTCATCCAGATTCATAATAATTTATTTTTTTTTAAAAAAGCAGATAGAGCAGAAGAAAGGCTCTCTTTGTGTGGAAGAGAAGTAGAAGAAACCAAAGGAAGCATATGTGCATCCGTGGGGTCCTTGGTGCTTTCTGAGCTTGGACGTTTTCTTGCAGATGTTTCATTACCAAACTAGATAACATGATCCATGATAAAAGGGAGTGGAGTTTGCTCTCATCTTAGTTGGGTAGTTAACTCAGACAAAAGTAAATAGCCTAATCAAGGAACCACCAAGACTTCTCCCACCAGCACTGACAGGACAAGCCACTAGTATATAAAATATAGTGGATTACTATATGTCAGCCCTGACCCCGTATTTCAACCCTGAACTACAAATATTCTCTTTTATCGATACGTACATCCATTTTACATTACCAAGTCAAACTGAGAGTTTGGTCAAGGGCTTCAAAATCTTTGAGAAGCAAATTAGAAGGAAAAGGGAACATTAATAAGGATTTGGAGAATTGTTTATTAACATGGGGCATTGCAGCAGACAAATGCAAATAAGATGGTAGTAAGCAGTTAGTTTTCAGCTAAATCAAACGAAAAGACCAGGAATGATTTTTCCATTAAAAGTAACAAATCTCGGCTACTTCTATTAAAAAGGCTGAGAGGAAGATACGAAAACCTCTAAGCAACGCAGAGAAATATTAAGGAATCTTTAATTAACCCACTTTCCAACTGAAGGTTTCCGAATGAAATTCATTATATAATTTAAAAATTTCCCTCAGATTTACAAACTTAATAACAGCAAGTACCAAATGCAACATTTAATTTATTGTCTATAATTATCACCCTTAAAGTGCAGTCAATATACATTTCTAAAATCTAAAAATAAACCTGATTTTTAAAAAAATATTTTAAAAATTCACAGCTATACACAAAATACAACTAGAACAGCGAAGTACCCCAGCTCATATCACCACAAACATTCATTTCTGAACTATTGTATAATTGACCCAAAAGGTTTCCAATTGTCTACCATCTCTCTAAAGGTGTGTTTTAAAAGTCTGTTTAAATGATATTAAAATCATATTTACTGTATCTATCTACCTTTCCTGTAGCATATTTTTCATTCCATGATTTGACTGTTGATTCTAATTTGAGGTCTACTTATATAGCAGATTTTCTTCACAGAAGATGGAAGGCATTTGTCCCTAATGAAAAATGTATAAAGGAGCACGCCCCAGGTACTTCATGGCAACTTCTGTAATCAACACATCTTATTCAGCAAATGGGTTAGACTGTGAAGTCAAACAAAATCTTCTAAGAAAGGAATAATGAATTGCTTCTGTAAGGCTACGAAGAAAACTGCATGGGAGTTGAGCTGGATTTTAGGACGTCTTTACTTTCTTACAATCACAGAAATTGCTAGCAGACTTCAGATCCTTCGGTTATCACAAGAAATAAAAATTGAGATTATATAGGAGGGAAATTGCATTAGGAACTCCAAAACACTCCATGTTGTACTTGTGCATTTCATTACTTTCTGTTCTGCCTTACCCTTTTCACCCTAACCCACTCCATCCGGTTCCTTGGCAAACTGAGCTTAATTCTGAGTGACAGTTTAAGGAATCAAAGGCTAAGAGTAAGAGACAGAGAGCCCTCATCTGCTACAAGGATTACTCAACTGTCACATGAAAGGACTAAAAAAATTTAAAATGTACTGTATTCCTCTGTAGTGGCGATGAGGAAAACTGTTGTATTTTGAGGAGTTTAGTGGCATATTTTCATTTCTCCTTCATATTAATGTATTTATTTAACATAGGGCATAAAGTACATGAATAGCAGCAGTAAAGATGTATGGAAAGAACACATAATATGATACACATAAGATGGAGATGGGTGGTCAATTGTGCAAGGTATAAGAGATTCAAGAAGATTCAATTGTGCAAGGTATAAGAGATTCAAGAAGAGATTCCTTCGTATTAAGAAAAGTCTAGACCAGGGGTGTACAATCTAAAAACCTGTGGACTTCAGCTCCCAGAATTCCCCAGCTAGCTAGATGGGGAATTCTGGGAGTTGAAGTTCAGAGTCTTAAAAGTTGCCAAGATTGGACACCTCTGGTCTAGAAGTTCAGAGCTCATTCTGAGCAAATGTGCTTTTTTTAAACTTTTGAATATTGCATAAAGGCGAAGAGGGGCTGTGGAATCTTCACATAGCGCAAAGATTTCTTTTTAATCTGTGAATATCTCACTTTCGAGTTATGTGCCATCTGGTCAAGGTCAGGTCTCGCAGCCTTGTGACTACAGAAACAGAGCAATGAAGCCACGGTGCCAGCTTTTAACAAAAACTCTAGTCCTGGCTTTTAAGTTGGGAGCTTCTGCAGAAAGCCTAGCACTGGGTGCTGTGGGGCATCTGTGCTCTTGTTATTAAGGAGGTCCTGACAGCTTTTAAGAGATTTCAGTATCATCTTGCTTGGTAGGTGTGCTTTTTATGTTAAGTTTTTTAATTTGTTTGCTTCATAATAAAACTTAAAATCTCTTTTTCATTGCTGTGCTCAGTCTCTGGATCCAGAACCACCAATTGCCTGGGCACCTGATCCCTGCCCTGACACTCATCCACTGCCACAGCAGTGGATGAGTGTCATCCTAAACACCTTGGATGATGGTCATCCTAAACACCTTAAATGTTAAAGTGTCATGTTAATATTTTTGCTATAATATTCTGCAAATAATCTTAGGATGCTGATGGAATCCAGGAAGGCTGTAATTAAGAGGGGAAAAACATCCATCTTACAATTTTCCTGGTTAAATATCACCATTAATTTTTCCCTCCCACTTGCATTCTCAGACATTTCATTATTAGTTTAGGATATCTAGGAATTAGCATCCCTAGAAGCACTGTTAAAATTCTGCCCCTGCTCACACGTTTATTTATTAACAATCCCAGCATTGACTGGTACTATTGTGCTTGCCCATTTATGAATTACAGGAAGAAACAACGTCAGGGATCCAGTAACTGCAACCAGAAAGAACAGCCATAGGAACACACGATCAAGCACCTGAGCTATAAATTGCCAGTCCTCCACAACCTAAAAAAAAAGAAGAAAAAAAGTCAGTAACTTTCCTTAAGCATTCGGATCTACCAGTATCCGAGTTTAGTCCTAGAAAATAACAAAGCAGGCAGAGGCAACAATGTATCTATATAAAAGCCACAACATAATAAATAGGATTCAAATCAGAAGTAAATAAACCATCTTTATAATAGGTATTCCCTACTGTAGGTTTTACTTATTACTGAATAATATTAATTACTAAAACTGAATTTCATCAGGGAATGAAAAATTCTCAGTATATTTTAAAATACCTGTGCTTATTAAGGCTATTTTTAGGCTTGAATCATACTTTATACACAAACTGGAAAAAAATGGGTCATGGACAAACATGTGTCAGAGATAGAAATTGTATCTTTATCTTTTTTTGCATGTTATTGATCCAAAGTTTTCACTATCTTGATCCAAAACAATAGATCAAGTTATTCATATGATACCTATCACTGAGATCATAGTAAAATACGACAAAAGCTCTTTGGTGATTTAGATGTTGTAAGTTGCCCCCGAAAGGAATTGTTTCCATCAGCAGAACTAAGATTCCCCTTCCTCTCAAAAGACATCCAAAAACAGCACAGCATCTAAAAACCATCAGATTAAGGTTCTCATAGAAGAGAGTATCAGTAGCTCAGGATTGAACTGTGGAGTCTATGATACTCTGAGATTATTTTCTTGCAGACGTTTCATGGGCCAACAAGATTACCTCATCAATGCGAGATGTTCACCATCAGAGCACCGTCAACATCATCATCGATGATGCTACCTAGTTGGGTAATGAAATGTCCACAAGCGAACCACCAAGCTCAGAGAACACCCAGGGCTCCAGATTAAGGTTCTACTGCATAACTTTGTGTATTCCCCTTTCCGATGATCAACTCAACCAGTGAATTGCAACACAACTAGAACACACACCTCATGTACTTCATTCTCTTTGACAATGTGTCTTATAATGTACCGGACAGAATTTAAGGCTGCTTCTAAAGTATTCCTAGGTTCCTCAGATCCCTGGGTGCCCGTGGTGTCTTCTTCCTTTGGTACTGAGTACCTATCGACGTGACTTCTCATACAAAGCAGTTTGGGAAGTTTGTGAAGAAATATTTTGCGGACCCACGGTGCCATCGCATTGTGCGTCGACGAGGATCGATGATGAACATTAATAGCAAAGACAGTTATTACTATAGATAAGGTCACAAAAATCATGGTGAAGACCAAGTACTCGCCAATCAGTGGTATGACCTTAGAAGAAGACGGGATAATTTCTTCTATAACTAGAAGGAAGACGGTGAGTGAGACCAGAACGGAAGTGCAGAGAGAGATTTTCTCTCCTTCATAGGCAGGGAGATAGAAGACAAGGACGGTTAAGAAAGACAGTCCTATGCATGGAACAATGAGGAAGAGCGTATAAAAGAGAGGCAAGCGCCTAATTATAAATGAGTAGGTAATAAAGGGGTACCAGCAGCTTCCGTCAGTTCTGTTCCTTCTGATACCCGTTGCGGTTACTATTTCCCATTCTCCATTGTCAAAGAAATCTCTTTTGTCTACTTCTTCATCCACAAGCATTATATCCACCTGAGAACCATCATATGTCCACGAGCCAAACTTCATGGAGCAGTTCTGGAGGTCAAATGGAAAGTAAGTGACGTCAATGGTACAAGAGCTTTTAAAGTTCGCGGGTGGGGTCCAAACAATAGTGCCATCGTGTTTCACTATGGCCTTTGTAGATGTCCCTTCAAAATGACCATCTGCACTGAAAGAATATCAGCAAAGGGTTATGAAAGGTACAAGATATGGTTTTTCACAAAAAACTAAGTGTACTTTTTCCAGTGCAATTTTTTCCCCAAATTGTATAACCCTGCTTAATCCTTTATAGGCAAAAAATTGAGTTAGATGACCCCTGTAAGATATGGTCCAGCCACAATTAAAATTATTAATGTTGAACAAACAGATAGGAGCTAATGAATACTATCATGATAATTTATTTTGAATTATGGTCACACGATCCTCTTTGAAAGGAACGGCTGAATCTTTTTTGCAGACATGCCCGCCCTTCTATAAAAACTCTCTGCTCCAATAGGTAAAAAACAAAACCAAATATCTTAATGAGGCGCTGCACTTCTTTACATGAGCTCCTCAAATGAGGATCCAATTACTGTATCTTCTACTGCTGCTCTGAATGCAGTCTCTTGGGAATCTGCACAGCATCATTTCTGCTGCTTCTTGTTCATTTTTTCCAGAAAGAAAAGTAGTCTACAAGTGAAGGTAGGATATCAAGGGGAATGCTCCCGATTCTTAATTCCCTCTGGGTAAGAACTCTCTGCAATCATGGGGGGTCTTTCTCCTTGGAAAATTGGGAGATTGAAGGAGACAACAAACTCTTTTATTTCATTACCTGTCCAGGGCTTTTCAACCTGGTTTTCCGCATTTTCTTGGGCTCAAGTCTATATGGCTGATCTGCCCTTTTAATATATTTTAAAAACTGAAATCTTACTTATCGTATAAAACAATGTCTGGAATCCATAGTGAAGCTGAAGGAACACGGATAGATGTTATTCCAGCATAGTCCTTAGGATCCCACTTCAGTTTTACATCAACCCATTCCTGCAAAGGAATACAGACTTATCTTCAATTTTATCTTGAACCTGAAACAGCTCCGAAAGCAACAATTGAAATGTTTACTATGTTACTATGAGGAGTGGCTACCTTGCTTCAAAACATATTTGTTTGTAGTTTTTGTTTGTTACTTTTGATAAACTTACACAGGAACGTTTTCTGGTTTTAATATTCCTGGAAGATCCATCTCTCTGCTTAAAATTCCTTGCCGATTTACTGTAAATCATTCAGGATCGATAGGGAATCCTGATCTATCTTTTTCCACTGTATCTTCCATGCTGATACAACCCAAGGGCATGAATCATCAATCCGCCGATATTATGAAGAAACCCACTCAAAACATTTTCAAGAAGGACTCACCTGCTTCAGCCAAACATTTGTGGTCATCAATTGGTTTTTTTCATCCTATTAGAGGAAAAGCGTATTAGATATAATCAAAGGTTTTAGAAGGTAAGAGCCAGATAGCGCTTCAGCATCTCAGCTGGACCTTGGGAAGACTTCTGGTAGCTTCTCCCTCCTAAATAGGTGCTTGCTTTCCAATGTGCCCCTTGAAGGCATAATGAAATAGCAGAAGCAGCTGACACTTGAATTTCATTCCCCCAATAATTGTCAGGCACAAACAACCAAACTCACACTTGTAGAGTTCAAACAGGCTACTTTATTGTTCTAGATTCCACAGGAATCTCCCTGGACTGGCAGCTTTTGCCTGTGAAAGGCTAGATAAGGCTCAAAGGCATTGGAGGGAGGAGGTATCATACCTTGCTCTATTGTTTTTACTTAGAGTCCATCCTAACTTCTCATTTGAGATCTCCTCCCCACTGGGATGACTGCTCTCCAACAATAGTGGAACAATCCAATGGCTGTAAGGCACCAAATACTCAGAGCACCAAAAATGTTACCATTGCTATTACTAGTAGGAATATTTTTTACATTAGTTAAAAGAAAAGACACAGAATCTTTTTCACGTCTTACAGACTTAGAGGTACATGTTTTTTTAAAAAATATTCACCTGATATTGTAAACCATGTTGGTAGTCTGTCTATCACACTTAATATGTCCTCTGATTAAATAAAGTGGTTATTTAGGGTGGAGATTTCTGTCTTCACTTGCCCTGAAATCATATTACTACTACGTGCAAGCGATTTCATCTACATCTTAAGGATAAAGTATCTTATAATTATTAAGGCCTTATTATGTTTCAGAAACATGGCAAAAACTCTACCAAACAGGCAACATATGTCTTCAGATTGATTAAATTTTAAAATGTATCAATTTCCTAACATACCACATCTACCAACTGGGAAATTGCAAGACCAAATTTCACTTTGATGGTATCATTCAAGTGCTCGACTGGACGAACCCATCGTTCATAGTCTTCAAATAAATGTTTAAATAAACGGTCTTCACTTTTAGCAATAAAAGAAGGTTCAGATGTACCTGCACAAAGGATGATAATAAAGTTTTATATTTAAAAATGCCAGAGACAATATTTAATATTAACTCATGTAATTGCCCATATCACAATAGAGGAAGTTTGGCATAAGGTTAAGCATAACAGAAAGCCGCAGTTCCCTTCTGTTTAAATACATGGAATACAAGAACAGATTGGTATTCTGCAGATTTAGCTTTTGACATTGTCAACAAAATATTGGATGGTAACCCACTAAAAATGTAAAACATAACTGAGAGACCTATCTCCAAGTTATGTTTTACAGGAGAGGAAACAGTATTATGTTTAAGTTACCATCCCAGAAGCCAGTGGTAGATCGAAGATGAAGAGTTAAGGATGAAAAAAGCAAAAATTATGGAAGCATGAGTTTTCTACTTATTTATAGTTTGATTAGTCTATAGATTTATTGGTTTGAATACAAATTGACAATTTATGTAAATAGATATGTAAATCAGGCAGAGCCTTCAGGCTCCATGCTGAAAGTATTGTAGGCTGTTAGATTTCATTTGGGATGGTATTGAACAGTAATTTTCAGTATCAATAACACTGTATTGCCCTTCTTCTACTTAAAAAAACCTTAATTTGTTTTCACAGCAATTGCCAACATATTTCACATATTATATGAAAGTTCATTTCTGGGGAACTAAAAATGACATAGTCATTGCTTTCTCTATCCTATTGAAAATATTACAAGGAATAGAAAGGGGATATTTATGCGTACAAGTGCTCCCAAAGCTAATAAATTGTACTGCTTAACATTCTGAGTGGTATTTAAAATATTGTTACTTTTATTATCCAGTACTGTATTTTTGTACCTTAAATATTATGAAACTTAATCCTATTTATATTTAGCTAAAAATGTATTTTAGTAGGATTTGCATGTAATATGCTTAGAACTCCATTCTAAACTTAGCCTGTGAGCTCATATTTTAAAATAGAACAATTCAAAGAAACTTTAAAATTGTTTAATGAAGAACAGAGAAACCATTTCGAATTTACTAGCATGCTGAATCGCCCATATTTTACTTCAATACTTATTCTGGCACTTTAATGTATAAAATGCTATTCTCAGACTCATTAGATGATGTCTGTTGATAATTAACTTCTAGGGATATGCAAATCATTTAAAACTGCCCAGTCAACTTCTTTTGCTGAAAAAAAAAATGAAATAAAATCGCTACACACGTGCAGAAGATAGCTAACAGCAATTCTGAAGCAGCAACTCCGTGAAAAGATGTGGTTCATGCATTGCAGAGTGCCTCTTCTGGAAGATTTGAACAGCCCTATTTTCTGGCTACTGAAGCAGAGAAAATCCTGCCATCCCTATTCTGTGGCTAAACAGGGACTTGGGTCCTGGCACCTAAGACTATGCTTTCAGCTGATGAAACACAAAGGTTCCATTAATTGTAGTAATATAAAACTATTTTTTTTAATCTCAGTGAGGAAACAGTGATTCAAACTGTTCAAAAGAACAAAACTTGTTCTGATTACAGAAGGCAGCTGTCCAGTTCACAAAATATGTTTCCTGATTACTGCATTTAGAAATAATTCTATTACAATTCACCATTTGCTTGGGTTGTATTTTTAAAAACTGATTATGTGCAATTAAGTTGGGATTGCCTCTTAGCAAGCACAAGAGATGGATTTTCTCCAAAAGAATCTGTCCCCAACCTGGTCCTTCAGGTCTTCCAATGGTGTAGCCATCATGGCAGTAATTGAGTCATTAGATTAAGCTTGGATGTTCTCTAGCTGTACCACAAATTGTTTTACTTCACAATCTAAAAGAAATGGTTCAGATTAGTTTTTTTCCTATACCATCTATCACAGAAGGAAGATGACTGAAGAATCCCCCTTGCAGCTATTAGGACTCAAAACACCTATAGGATTTCTATTTTTACTACATGTCAGTTCAAACACATTTAAACACCATACCTGGGAACATTTTATTTGAATAAAATTGTTTCTTGCCTTCAATGTATCAAAGGAACCGTTTTAGTGAGAAAAACAATGGCCATAGAATATTAGAAGAAGGCAATGAAATTGCAGGTATCCAGAATGGGAATAACCAAGTGTACATTCTTGAAAAAGTACTGCATTGACATTCTGTTTCTTCTGAAAAAAACAAAAAACAAAAACCACGAACTGCACATCTGTTTAACCTGGATCTATCAAAAATCCTTTTCATTACATACAGAGAAAAGCTCTTAAAGACATTCTGCTAACTTGTACTTCTATTCTACACATCCAGAGTTACAAAAATAATATCTAAACCTTCAACCCTCCTTCAAGTCAGGTTGAAAATATCTGTCTCCCCAAGACAAAAATATGTCTCTGCAGTCTTAACCATTCAGCCACAGCAAAATAAGGGAGAAAAGATGAACTTTCGAGGGCTTCTGAAAAACTGGAAAGAGCAGCAGTTGGCAGGTGTCTATCTAAGGACAGAATAGGAAGAAGAATCAGACCCTCTTTTGGTTTACAAAAAAGTATTTTGTTCATCCTGGGCATACATGAATGAATGAATGAACACTTTGCTAAATCCTGCCTTCAAGATATGGGTTTTTTCCCCTCTTCCTTCTCACCAATGCAGCACATTGGATTGTAGCAAAACCCTTCCTGCCCTTCAGTGAACCACTGCAGTTATTAATGTTTGAATCTGCACTTCTAGATAAAGTCTTCCAGATGCAGACACAAAGTCTTACAAAAACAGATTACAGTGTCTCTTAGGAAAGGCTGGACAGATCAGGTTGCAATTTTTTGTCATCGGATAAGGACAGTAATCCTGCAATACGACAGCAGAATAAGGCTGTAATAATACACCCCCACCCTAACCCACTTACAGAGGCATCAGCCCCATGGAAATAACAATAGAAGTTGCTTTCCAAATAGAGAAACCCAGAATGGAAATAGGAAAAAGCAGCCAGTATATAGTACTACACAGACATCTTTTTATTTTACTTATTTATTATGAAATTTGCCGCCCCCCTCATATCCAGCAGCTATGTATATAAGTATGGATGAACAGATAGGCGTAGAGAGAGAGAGAGAGATAGACAGAAGGCAGACAGACATAGAGAGCGAGAGAAATAAAGATAGATAGATAGATAGATAGATAGATAGAGATAGATAGATAGATAGATAGATAGATAGATAGATAGATAGATAGATAGATAGATAGATAGATAGATAGATAGATAGATAGATAGATGGATGAACTGATGGATGGATAGATATATAGCCAGGCAGATAAAAGATATATATCTCTCACATCTATGCACATACAAATCTAGGCATTTGCACACTCATGCACTCTCCCCTCCAACCCCTCCCTGCAGCAATGAATTTGCATGCTCATGCACACCTGCCTCGACCCCCCCCCATCCACCTCAGGGTTGCTTCGTGAGGGGAAGCAGTTTATAAACACTTTTAATAAATATATCCAACATCCCCCCCATGCAAAGCCCCCACAGCCAACAGACAGGCTGCTTTTAGAGTTTCTATTTCATGCAGCAAAACTCCTGCGCAATAGTTGGGACCCTATTCGCCCCCCCCCCGCAATATAAATTCCTATTAATTTGGACGGATAGTCCCGGGCTGGCGGGCTGGCCCTACTTCCCCGATATAACTGCCCCTTCGCGAGCATCTCCTGCGCGGTTCTTCTTGGACTAAGCGGGCCAGGCGCCTGACGCGCGTCTTGGGTGCTGAGGCATTCACACGAGCGCGGGGCTGCACGCGTGTCTCCACGTTTACCCAGAGAACGGTTTCCGGCGGCTCCGTGGCTGGCGGAGAGGAGGAGGAGCAGGAGGGGAGCCTCGGCCATGGCCCCGAGCGGCGAAAGCGGCCGCTGGACGCGGAGCGAACCGCGGAGCCGCTTCTCCTCAGACGCGCCTCAGCCGGGAAAGCCCGGCGGCCGCCGCTCAGCCGCCCGAGCCCCGCCCCGGGGCGTGGCTAGAAA